GCTAGTTAACGTTCGTGTCAGTCAGCTGTTGGCTATCACGCTGGCCAACAGAATCATTCTGCCTATTCGTGGCAGCCAACTATAGGCACTCACTCTATCCAGTAGAAAATGGCCGCAAACTACATGAAAACTGCCGTAGAAGCATGAAAAATCGATTATTTCCACTGTTGATGTGAGTTGGAAAATGCAAAGTCTGTCTTGGTCTTCCCGCTAACATGGAGCATGTGCATGTAAATTTTGGTGAAAATCCGTCGAAAATTTCCGGCCGCGCATTCGTTACACACACACACACACACACATCCTGCCTTATATATATATATATATATATATATATATATATATATATATATATATAATTATATATATATATATATAATTGATACGTAGAGTCTATAAGAATACTCAACAGAATGAGGATTTTGAAACTCAGCAGCAGTGCGGATCCACTACCTAGAATCGAACCTGGACCATTACGATAGAATGCAAGGGTCATATCCAATGGGCCAATGCGCCTCGGTGAGGAAGAGATAACTAGACTCGATATAGCGCCGATACTTACTAAATTCCGTGGTGTAACACATCCAAGTATACTTAATGTATTCTTTCCCCAAGCCGCTCCCTCCAGAGCATTAGAAGCCGTATCAAGCAAGAATATACAAGTGATAGAAATTATATATATATATATATATATAGACATTTTTTTATGTTTATACATTCTTTTTATAAAGACAAATATTGAAGTAAATGCTCTGTTTATAATAAACAGTATTAACAACTTTTACCGGCCTGAATGTCCGAGAAATTTTCATGGAAAATATGCGTCCTCCGACAGGAATCGAACCTGTATTCTATACGGAACCGTCATATAGCCTGACGTGCCTTAACCGATTGGGCCACAGAGGAGCGTTCGGTTAACAAGGTTGATTTTACTGTTTTTAAACACAATTCTCCATGATTTTCTCTCGTACATTCATATCTGCACAATGCGTATCCAATGTAAACAAATGACGTCATACATTATGAAATGGACAAAGGTCGACAATTATTTAAGACATTCTTTTTATGTTTATACGTTCTTTTTATAGATACAAATATTTAAGTAAATGCTCTCTATATGCTCTCTCTCTCTCTCTCTATATATATATATATATAATTTACATTAGAGAAAACAGACAACTTTAATGGTCCATCGTTATAATTTATTTCTCTAGGGAGTTTCATCTGATAGGACTTCATCGAACTGTACCGTCTTGAATAAAATGAATGCAATCTGGAAATCTGATCTACCAGAAAACTTCAAGATACTTTTGAGCAAATGTAGAGGCGGTGTTAATGTATGGTACTACTGCCTGGTCATTAACTAAAACTCGAGAATTGAAGCTAGATGGAACCTACACTCGATGCTGAGAGCTATACTTCAAATCTCCTGGAGACAACATCCAACTAAATCACAGCTCTATAGACCCATCTGTGGGGCACCTCGAGGTGGTAATGGTTAACTAGAACAATTACAACTGAGTAGTGAGTTCGATCCTCACTGGGTGCCCCATACTTTCGGCCTTGTGCCACATCTAAGCTACGCTTGGAAAATCACTATGGACCCATCCCTGATTTTTCTATAATATTACGCGAATGTAATTGCAGCACAATGTTAGCGAGCAAAACAAGAACTCACGAGTGATCGAATGCTCTGGTTACCGAGCCATGGAGCAAGACGAGTTGGTCGCCTGGCAACCCTTTACTTTGGTCAGCTATGTTATGTGATACAGAATGCCAACTTAATGACCTCCCAACATTGATGCAGAACCGTGATAGTTGGCGCAATAGACTAGTTAATATCCGAGCCAAGTTGATCGAAAAATTGTCTGTTTACTGACTGAAATAGTTGCGACGACTGTAGTCGGGTTTCGAGCTCACGTTGGAAGTAGAAATTGGAATGCTTTTTTTTATCAGGCAGGCGAGACGATACACACTAACATTCCTACATCTGTAGGTTTTTAGTCAGTCAGTTATATGCCATGCGTGATACACGCTTAGGCGATCATGTATCTTTCGATATATGACTGACGAGGCAGATTTTTTCAGCAGTAGGTTGCCATTTCTTTCTGCGGTAGACCAGTTGCCATCCATGGCTATAGAACCCGGTCTGTCCTGCTATTTACCCATATCTGGGGGAAGAAGAAGAGACTTAATACCTTTACCAAGGGTATTAGCACGTCAGTCAGTCAGTTATGTGCCATGCGTGATATACGCTTAGGCGATCATGTATCTTTCGATACTGACGAGGCAGATTTTTTTTTCCGCAGTAGGTTGCCATTTCTTTCTGCGGTAGACCAGTTGCCACCCAAAGCTGTCAGTCCTACTATTTACCCATAGCTGGGGAGAAGAAAAGGATTCATACCTTTCCCAAGGCTATTAGCCCGTAAGTGAATGTAATGGATTCGACTGGAATTCGAAATCGGCGGTCTGATTCCTCAATCCGAGTCGCTATCCATTACTCCACGTACCTCCATGTTTTTAGTACATTCTTGTAAAATCTGCTTTGACGGTATGGGATGAAAAACTGCCTACCCTATCTCTCCTTATATTGCTCCTTCAAGCTAAACTTATCGTTGTAAACTGTCAAATATATTTTATGTATCTCTCGTATTTAAAAACCTTGTGACTAATTTCTTTTTCTCTCCATCTTATCAGAGCAGCGTCTCCTGGGGAATTTCTACTTTTTCAGAGAAATCCTCGCGGGTGTGTAATAATAACCTGACATTGATTTGTTTCAGGAATTGTGAACAAGTTCTCTTAATGGAAAATGATATGCCGTAATTCCTTAATATTTGTTCAAAGTAGGATGTAGAGTAAAAATAAAACAAGAAAAATTCCGATATCGGCTCAGAGCTCTTGGGAAGCTGGCTTCGTAGGACACAAAACGGGTATAAATGTTTGTGTTATCAAATTCGTTAAAAACGTCGTCAGATAAATAGATGTTAAGAGGGTTTTTTTTGAAAACATCATGGCCTGTTTCTAAAGAGAAATTAAAAAAAAAAAACAGAAAAAATGGCAAAATATCTGCTACTTGCATAAATGGTTCAAGTTTACGGCCATATCACGTTGAAACGCTGGTTATGTTCCTCGTCAGTAACTACATGGGTGACCGCTTAGGAATATCAGGTGCTGTAAACTCTTACCAACACGCACCGGCTCAATGCAGTAGGGTAATCGCCCATTGCTCACCATGAATGGCAAAGTTAAAGGTCTAGGGGAAGGTCTACATCCAGCAAGGAAATTTGTTAGGATGATTAAGAATAACTGGTTCAAACGTTAATGTTTTTTTTTTAATACAATGATCCTTCAGGACGTAAAATAGATATTATTAGACTGAGGCGGATAGAGAGAGGGAGTACGAACAGAATGAGATAGATAGATAGATAGATAAATAGATAGATAGATATGAGCAGACTGATATATATATATATATATATATATATATATATATGAAGAGAGAGAGAGATAGTGTGATAGATAGATAGATGATAGATAGATATATATATATATCTGATATATATATATATATATATATTTATATATATATATACATATATATATATATATATAGATAGATAGATAGATAGATAGAGCAGACTGATATATATATATAGAGAGAGAGATAGAGAGAGAGATATAGGAAGAGAGTGAGATGAGCAGACTGATATATATATATATATACATCTATATATATATACATATATATATATATATATATATATATATATATATATAGATAGATAGATAGATAGATAGATAGATAGATAGATAGATAGATAGATAGATATGAGCAGATAGATAGATATAGATAGACAGATCGATACATACATACATTTTTCCTTGTCCTAGTAATGACTAACACTGGCGAGAGAACTTTGTCAACACTGCTCTTTAATCTATAGCTGGGGAGAGAGGAAGATAAATATTATGCCTTTATACAGAATATTTGTGTGAAAGTGGACAAAAATGAGAGAGAGAGAGAGAGAGAGTGAGAGAGAGAGGGAGGGAGAGACAAAGACAGATAGAAAAGAGATAAATAGATGGGTGGACAAACATATATATATATATATAGAGAGAGAGAAAGAGAGAGAGAGAGATGGCCTGAAGATTGCGTTCAAACATGAAATAATCATATCTGAAATAACTTAAAAATATATCTTTATCATATATATATATATATATATATATATATATATATTGCATAACTAGTTTGACTGATGAAGTCCTGAAGGCCGAAACACGTCACACGAAAACTTTTACCACTTTGTCATACATTGTTCACATATGAAAATTGATATATCGTTATCCACCATATATATATATATATATATATATATATATATATATATATATATATATACAATTTGTGACTAATAGTGATAATTCTCCAGGAGGATATCAATACAAAGAGAGATCAATATAAACTACAGAGCATTATAATTATAATAAGAAATCAAGAAGAGAACCATAAAGTTCCATTTCAGTCATAATTTATTTCGTGAATGTTTTTATATATTTATCTCTTCAGTCTGAAAGTTCTTTAAAAAAAACCTTAAGCTTGATGATGACATTATGCTAATGTCGAAAGTACTCGGAATAAATGAATATGTATCCACATGGTAATAAGGATATTAAGATGTTTGTACATGTGAATATGGAAATAGGTAAACAATATATATATATATATATATATATATATATATATATATATATATATATATATATATATATATATGTGTGTGTGTGTGTGTGTGTGTGTGTGTGTGTGTATAGAGAGAGAGAAAGATAGAGAGAGAGAGAGAGATATCGTTCGTCGCTATAGTTCTCTCATAATCGACTCCTCATTTTCTCTTTCCAGGCTGGTATCAATTACACCCACCCTGCATGTCGGCATATGAGGCAAACTTTTTTTTGTTTTCTCTTGTTTGAATTTAATCTGTATAATTTATCAACGCGGAAATATGATCGCAGGCTTCTGGTCATGTTTGGCTATCTATCTATCTATCTATCTATCTATCTATCTATCTATCTATCTGACTGTCTCAGACTTTTCATTATCTATCTATCTATCTATCTATCTAGATATCTATCTATCTATCTATCTATCTATCTGTCTCAGAAATTTTCATTATCTATCTATCTATCTATCTATCTATCTATGTCTATCTATATATCTCTGTCTGTCTCAGACTTTTCATTATCTATCTATTCATCTATCTATCTATCTCAGACTTTTTTTATCTATCTATCTATTATCTATCTATCCATCTATCTATCTATCTATCTATCTATCTATCTGTCTGTCTATCTGTCTCAGACTTTTCATTATCTATCTATCTATCTATCTATCTATCTATCTATCTATCTATCTCATCTTGTTCATATCTAACTATATATCTATTTATATATCTTTTAATTATCTATCTATTGATCTATCTCAATCTGTTCTCTCTACGCATGGTTTGTTCTACTTCAGTCTGTTTATATTCATGTTAGCCTGTTCAACTCTTTCAATTTCTCTCTCTCTCTCCCTCTCTCTCTATGTATCTATATATTATGTGTGGTATAAGGGAGAGGGGGATATGAAGAAAGAGAGAGTGGAATAAAGAGAGAGAGAGAGAGAGAGAAAGTGAAAGAGACGAAGAGTGGCAGTTTTGACTAAAATTTTCTTTCACCATTTTTAGATAAAATTTTTTCGAAGATAATTTTTATTGAATAGCGTATTCACCATTATAATCCACAATTTTTATATCATTTTTAGACATCTTAATTTTATAGTTTTATCACTCTTGGAAAAGAAAATGCGGTAGTTGCTATTTTATGACTTCCAAGGAATTGACCAATTTTTTTCTTCTTTTAATTGAAAGAATTCTCTAAAGGCCTTTATAAATGGTAATCCGAAGAAAAAAATATCTGACGAATATGCTAAATTTCCATAGAACCTATAAAAAATGTGGTTGTTCACTAAAGATACATTGGTTCTAATGTTATCGTGATGCAAGATTGTACATTTTTCACTCAGTTAATTACGATCTCATATTTAATAACTGTTTGCTACATTAAAGCCAGGAAAGAATATCACCTACATGTCGCCTCTTGCTTTGTGCCATCTCAACTGAGAAACATTTTATTACGGAATTTAACAATGTTCAAATACGAAACGAAAAATGTCCCTTGATCCCAGCAATAGCCAGAAATGTCTTTCGAAAACGCTGAATCACAAATGGCATTATTTACATACATGCATTCTCTTATAGCTAAAGGAAAAAAGATAACTAAACAAAATAAAATAATAACTACTATTAAGGAAGAACAAGGGCATCAATACATTATCTATCTATCTATCTATCTATCTATCTATCTATCTATCTATCTATCTATCTATCTATCTGTACCTCCATGAGATCGCTAAAAAAGAGCCTAGCAGGATGAAAAAGACGCCAAACGTGACGAAAACAAAATTTTATCGTCTAAACGTTCATGTTATTATTAAGAGGAAAGATCAAATTATTTTGGGGGTATTTTTAAAAAAATTTTTAATCGTTCCTAGCACGTCCAAAATTTTCGTTAAAAATCTTGTTTTTTTAGTCAGTAAAATTGGCAGATAATCAATCATGGCAACCATTTTTTTTCCATTTTATAAAAAACATGAAAATCTCACTTTGAAATTCTTTTAAAAATCAATTATCATTTTTTCAAAACTTATTTTAAGTAAATCAGAAAGTATAATGTTTATTTAAAATATTTTGAACCAAGCTTAACTTAAATGTAATTTAAAAATAAAACAAAGCAGGTCATAACCTTTCGCGTCACTTGACAGGTGACGAAAAACATTTTTATGACGTTTTGATAGCTTACGAGAGGATAATTCCTTCTGCGGAAGGAGAGAAGTGAAGTTATTTAGATTTAAGTGAACAAATTATTTACCGCGTTATTTTTAAGGAAAATTTTCAACGCTCTAATTTATTTTCTTTTTGTTTTGTACTTAGCTTTCACCTTTACGTTTACGATGCTTTATGGAAAATATATTATAAAGAAATTAAAATAAGCTTGTTAAGAGTGAGATTAAATTTCATAAGAAGGGTATCTAATTAATTTATAGGTACCTTTCTTATTAAATTTTTATCAGAAGTGTACATAAAATACTATAATTTTATGTACATTTATTACATTTTACTGTTTTATTTGTATTTCCATTCATTTTATTATTAATTTTGATATTTCATTTATGGAAAAATGTCATAACTGAGAGGAATACAAAAATAAGATCATATAAATTTCATAAGATGATACTGATACTTGTAGGTACCCTTCTCAGTTGAAATTGAAAAATCAAATTAACTTCACACGTGTTTCGCAAAAGTAAAAGTCTTAACAGTGGAGAACGATGCTTAACTCAAATAACGCAACTTAATTGTATTCTGGTTGGTCTTCCGTACTTTATAATTACAGCCCGATTAT